CCTATATACACCAAACCGAATATACCTAGAAATTAAGTAAACAATTGATGTGTTTTCATATCAATATAGCGAAATTATCAAAATTACGAGGAAAAAGTTACAAAATGAATTTAGAGCTTGGCTAAGCACTTACGCAAAATGACAAAGCTTCAATATCAATAACTGTAAATTTCAAAAACGATAGCCAATCAAAAAAAAAACACTCCTTCAAAAAAAAAAACAGCTTCATACGAAGGCATCAACTCGCGGATCATTTTGTGAATCCCCGAATTTCGGGATCTTATGATGGTAATCCCGAGATTCCGGGATATTATTACCATTAATTTTAATATGCTAATAAACTAGTTTTGTAGTCTTGTGAATACTAAAAATAAAAATAAATGTATGCTTTTAAGCAATGAAATATAGATCTTTCTATAAATATATCTGTTAAAAAAAAGGCCATTCAATTTAATTGTAATATGTGCAAGTTTTTAGTACCTAGGACATACCGTGGATTTTTGGCAATTTTTCTGTTGAAGGTTTCATAATCTAATAATTTATTGTTGAGCTCTAAGCGGTGTATTAAATAAATCATTTAAAGTTTTGCTGCTTTATTTACTTTTATTTTGGTCGATATTTCGCCTTCAATCTGACGGCATCTTCAGGAACAATTAGCTTTGTCCAGTAGTTAATTTTTTCCATGTAAACAAGCCGTCGATCACAATTTGTATGAAAGAAAATGACTGACACCGTCAACAAAAAAAAATGCAAATAAGCAACGGTACTTGAATGAGCCACAACGTTGTTTGTATTTGTTTGTTATATTTAATTTATTAAAAAAAAGTAGCAGAAAAAATTTGTTTTCATTAAAAGCTCTAATTTTTGCGAGCGCTAATTGAATAACACAGACAGAGGGCTGAAATTTCGCCACAATTAATTTTTTGATACCGACAGCGAAATTTTCATATGGGAGCGAAAGAAACAAAACATGCCTTCCACAGTCGAATATACATTGAAAAAAAAAAATGCCAAAAATCAACGGTAACTCCTAGCTACTTAAAACTTGCACTTTATTGTAATAAAATTGATTGGGCTACAATTCCGCATACTCAAAAAAATTCAAAAAGAATGCGATTAAAAAGTTTAAAATTTTAATGAAAATTTTCTGAATTTTCGCAAGTTTTGCACAAAGTTTAGGAATTATATTTTTATGCTTTTTGTTGTAGAATGAACCATATTTTTATACGAAATTAGCGGAAAAATATTATATTAAATATTATTAAAATTTGCTGTCCTAGTACTTTGTTCCGGCCGTGAATTTTCGAAAAAAATCATTCATGAACGTCCTTCGTTTGACAACCACTGAATTGAATTTTTAAAAAGGTGACAACTTTCGTCAGAAATTATCGTATATATTAAACCGGGCACAAGTCTATCTGTGTGCAAAGTTTAACTGAAAAAAGTTATGTCGATTTAAAGTAAAAGAGCTACAAACGCGCTCACGCACTCAATCACTTACAAAATTTTACATTTATAATATTTTATTATTTAGCAGCATATAACAACTGTATAACTCTTTGTCAACTGAGCAGATGGAAATACTGCCATAATGTATAATATAATATATGTACATTGCGATAAATCTGAAGCATTTATTTTTGAAAGAGATTTAGAATCCAACAAAAAAATTAAATAAAATAAAAAGTTGAATTATTTTTTTCATTAGATACGTGCACCTTTTTTCATTTGTTAGATATATCATGAAATCAAAAGATCAAACATACAAAGTTGAGCCAAGGCTTTAATAGCTAATTTAAAAGTAAATTTATTTCTGTTAGCCACTGAATCATATCTCTCAATTTTCTTGAAGAAATGATTTCATTTTCAAAAGCAACATTTAAAATGTTCAAGAAAAAGTGAACATTAAATAAGATAGGTAGGCACTCGTGCAGCATAGATCTGTCAAAATTTGACGTATGCGCTGCCAAATGTCTGTCGTATATAAATCGTATGCAAATATCCATGAAATTTGAATGTGAACTTATATATGTATGTACATACATTGTTTAAGAACAATACATATTAACATAACTTAAAAAGCAATGTTCTATTGGGATGCCGATTGCCCTTTCTTCTCAAACAATGGGTAAGCGACGTGTGCATAGCTTTCCAAATTTTTTCTAGCGCTTTCATTATTATTTTTATCGATTGTCCGCATTTACTTTTTATTAGCAGTAATTGTACTTATACGATGTATAAATGTATGTATTCATATATATGTATGTAGTCAGTGTACATATACATATATATATACACACACAAATAACTACTGACACACTACCGCTATGAGCCGCTCAACCGCACACCCAAATGACCGTTAAACTTTGAATAGTGTGAATATGGTGAGTGACCTTTCATGCTTTTTGCACCTCAACGCGCAAATATTTCTTCATTTAAGATTACAATCTTTGACACACTGACACTACGTTTAACTATTTTTGTTTTTGCACTTAATGTTCTACTTTCTGTTGAAAATTTTCCTTTCTTAAAGCTGTAAGAATTACCTAATATGTATGTATAATATACATTGTATATATGTAAGTTTATAGCCCGCGGTGCTTGATAGCTGCGACCAACCTACAACCCACCATGGCTGACATATTCAATGATCTTTCTTATTCTCTATTTTGTGGTTCACTCATCCACTGATTTGCAAGCGCACATTCCAAGCATCTATCTGCACCCATTTTAATTGGTTGGTTGGTTTTTTTGTTGTTTTGTTAACACTTCTAAATATTTTGCATATGTCTATATTTTTATTCAAGCCCTCATTTTGTATTGAATAATTCGCTATAACTTTTTAGTTTTATACTGCGGCAAAAAACGAACGACAAAGCTAAACAGAATATACAGATGATGGCAGATCGTTCAGTATTCAAGTATATTACTTAAAAATTTATTTGAAAGCCATGTGTATTTTATTTAGTCATAGATATCGGGACGCATGGGACCCGCGCCCCATGTTACTCAATTTGAAGTAATGAAAATGCATGTCCTTTTCTATAAAATCACTCTATTCTTATATAATAATAAGTAATAAATTCAAGTAACAAATTTCATTGACCCAAGTGTATCTATGAATCCGAGACCAGTATTCTAGTTTCGCAAAAGCTACTGGCTAATTAGGGCTAAAGGAGTGTTGAATCTTATTAAGTGTTGAGCTAAAAAGTTCAAGGATCCTTATTGCACTAAAACTCTCTATACATCTCTAATAAGACCGCTATGGAATATGCATCTGTGGAATGGAGTCCTAGTTAACAAACCGATAGTTACAGGGTCGAATCGGTAATCAGCCCATAAATAGTTTATTTTATTTGCTATACAAAATCTATCTTGGGACTCGTCTACAAATCCCTCTTCTTACCAAAAACCGTCCGAAACTTATAGATTTTTCGACGCTCCAGAGCCGAAGGGAGATGCTTGGGATGGTCAGTATTCTCCTCTTACTGAATAAGATAAAATTTTATATATGCACAAGATCCTCGAGGCATTTTAAACATATTGTCTTGAGCAGGGATGGGCAGATTTTTGGCTCTTAAAGCCGTCAGCGTAAAAGCGGTGTACAAAATACATTAAAAGCATTATATATATTAGTAATGAGAGTCGGAGTACAAGAAATTTAAATACGCTCTTCTTCCCCACTTCATGCTGGCTCTTGATGTTACCCCTCATCTACCCCCTAAATATGCCAAGCCGGCTTTTAAGTGCAGAAGGCTCCTGGGAACCACTTTGCCCATCTCTGGTCTTGAGTATCTGTAAATCAAACTTTGAAGTGCATGATGCTTTTCTTCGCTTATGCCAAATGTTCCGATTGCATCTGCACATCTCTATCGCATTTTATAACACAGGAAAAGAAGCTGCTTTTTGAGCATTAAATTTCAGTAAGTGCCGGTGGAATTTTGATTAAAACTGCTATTTCCAAAAAAGTGTTGTGTTTACAGCCACGCTTACGAAAAAATTTTAGGCTTAACCATAAACAAAGCAAACGATAAACCTCTCTTGTTTGATAACCACTTTAATTTAAATTTTGAATTAAATTGATTTCAGCTTTTTAAAAGGTTTCAGCCCTCTTCAAATTTCGAAATAAATGGTTTTCAACACCTTTCGTTTTACAGCAAAATTGTTGTAATTTTACAAAATAATTCATTGATTTTAAACTATGAAAAGGTGGCAACTCTCTTCAAAATATATCATACAGTTTAAAGCAAGTTATCCCATCTATGTTTTAGTGGGGACGAGCAACAAACACACACACACGCTCATTCAGATACTGAAAATCTTTACATTTCTTAATACACACAGTGACTCAAACAAGTGATCACGCGTTGATTTTTTTTTTTTATATTCGTAGTGTTTTTCGAACTAAATTTTCCTTTGGACTGCTCTTGCGCATTTTTTTTTTATATAACAAGTGCAATTTACAAAAACTGGCGCTGATTTTTTGAAATTTTATGAAACAAAGTGCAAAAATCCGTCACCAAAAAAAAGAAATATCTCAAAAATCAGTCCTTTGAAATCTGCACTTCATTGGACTAAAATTCTATGGGCTATGAAACTGTGTACCGAAAAGTGTTCTTCATATCCGGATTAAAATTTTGAGGAAAATTTTTTTCAATTTCCTAGATTTTTGATAAATCTTGAAACTATGAGGCGTATTCTTGTTTTCGTAGGAATCGAAAATCATGAAATTTTCCTATCATTTTCTATACAAAAATTTCGAAATTTCGATTCGTACGTAAACAAGAATACGCCTCTATGATTTATATGGGATTAGTTAAAGCTTGGACGGTATTTTTATAGAAAAAAAATATTAAGTTTAAAAACCATTATGAAAATCTAAAAAAAAAATGAACACGTTGTCACTTCTTTGAGTCACTGTAATTAAATAGTATGATCTTTTTCTTACTTCATAAGCATATTCCTGCATCTGATAATATAAAATTTTTTTTTATTTACAGATATCGTTCTCTCTGCATATCGAAATCTAAAGGTAAGTAATGTGGTGTATAAAAAAACTCTAAAAAAAAAGGTTGTGTGTGGAACCCACGCGCAACTGAAGTGAAAATTCCTTCCTCTATTATTCGTAGTACTAGTGAACTCGTATGCTGTTAAAACGTAAAAATTGAATTTAATGTTTTAAACAGGTGGCGACGCTATTAAAAAACCAAACTTCATACAAATTAGTCCAGCCGTTTCTGAGTGATGAGAAGTTTCGCACATTTCGACCTCTATTAGAAAAAACTTTTACCTTTCGTTTTGCTTTGATGTTAAACGGAAATTTAGCTCGATCTCAGGCCCTGCCGAATGGTAATGCGCACTTCCAATAACTACAGCACATCTGTGGCCTCTACGCCACCAACGTGTATTAACTCCAAATTCTTCAAACGCAAAAAACTAGTTCGAAGCTAGCAAGAGCATAATTTTTCGCAAAAAAAAAATACAAAATAAATTGCTCTACCATTCATTAGAAGTAAACTATACATAATTACATTTGATTTACAAACACTTCAATAAATATCATAAGTAATGTCAAAACTTAAAAATTTTAAGTTACTACATTTTTGAAGGAAGTGGGTGGTACATACGTACATCGTGCCTACGTACAATTGTAATTGTAAGCTAAATATATAAATTTCAATTATAATATACGGCTTTCAGTTATTCCACCTACACTTGAATTCTGGTGCAACTGCATTTTTGCATATTAATTATTTAAATAAGTAAACAATGGGAAATGAAATAATGCTTTTAATTTGTTTCTTACGAGCACATGAAATGAGGTACATATTTATCGGTTTTGTGTCGATATTTCTACCGATCTAAATATCAATGCAACTACGTACCTACGTATCATACATACATATATACATGCTTGAGAAAAATCAAATTAGCTTCTGTACTGATACTACCTTTTTAATATGCCTTGGCCTCTAATATTTTTGTTCTGCTTGCGTCGCTTGCAATCAATTTTATATATCATACATATATTTATCGATGATCAATTTTAAAGCAGGTATAAAACTTTGTTCCGTTTTCTCGACCGCTTGTTAAACCTAGCTTCTCTTTAAACACATCGACTGGTTTATCAATCGCATGCATATAACACCGTTCGTAAGTAAATTTTAAACTCAAAAAAATTTATATATTCGCGAAACCGAGGGTTTATTATAGTAAAACTGTGTACTTAGTTTTTCTCGCTGACGCCAGGATTTTTTTTAAAAGGGCTTTGAAATTTAAAAAATAAGATCATTT